CTGCCCGACAAGAACAATATGTATGACAAGGGTATCGACGCCCTCAAACGACACACCAAACTCCGGCGCATGTCAGAGGTCCGAAGCTTCCTTCGCCTAAAGATGATCTTACCGGAAATCCTTGGTTGTTCGAACGATCAGCTTGACTGGAAGAGGCAAGATCTGGGATTATCAGTGACGATGGCGGGCTTAAATCGTGAATAGGAGGATTGACAGGGTCTAGCTCGGTCTGAGAGACGGACCCCCAATTCGGTAACTTAGACGTCAAACTCGATGTTGTCAAAAGGTATCATCCCCTCTACCTTGGCTTTGTGCACACTAGGCAGAAAAACGAGGACGAGGCAGCATCGAAACAAGCCGACAAGCAGGACATGATGCTTACTGTTCCCCCTTGAGGCGTTGATTCTTGGATGACTCGCGACGACTTCCAAGGGAGCCTGGGGAGGCGCATCAAGACGCCTTGTCCGCAGCCAGAACCGAGCCAAAACCTGGCTTGTCGTTGTCGGCCGACCCTGCCCGATGAACCAAAAGATCGAAAAGCACCGTTGGGCTTGGTATGGAGACGTCGTTGCTCTTCGCTCTCCCCACCCAAGGTCGCACCGCTGTTTTTCTTTTCTTGAAGATTGCTTAACTTGCTTGCCACTTTTTTTTATTCGCCTCCAAACCAATTTCCATTTCCGTTGGAGAGGAGAGTGAGAGTTTCGACCATCTGTGGTTGATGATTCTCGGCGCCCGTCGAGGACAGTGTCAGACAGAGCCTTGGCGGAAACAGAGTTGAGAGGATCTGATCCATCAACAGACCCATGAGTCAAATCAAGGGCAGTTTCATTGGATCGATGAATCCTGCCATTCCTAGCTAGACTGACTACTGGGCTCAGGAATACCGATGAGGGTTGGAGACCCAGAGTTTCGGCACGGAGTCGCTCGTCCCAGAGCTTGCGAACAGGACAAGCACAAGGAGGGCTGCTGTGATACCTCGCTTGCGCTGATGGTTACATCTGATGCCTATCACCGCACGGGCTGATTATTGTTTTGTCTACTTTGTGGGAGCAGAAAGGGGTGAAACTCAGATCCGGGCTGAATCCTGACGGCACAAGCAAGAGAACGTCCCACTCAGTTGGGAGCGGGACGAGATAACGTTAAGTGACAGAGAACGACCGTGTCAATCATTATTAATAAGAACTGCTAGTGCGCCCGCTAGAGAATGCCTGCAATGGCACTATCGGGGCTACTTCAGTCGCGCGAACAAGAATGGAAATCCGAAAAATAAAATAAAAGGAATCTGGGGTGAAGAGGCTCAAAACTGGTCTGCTTGCCCATGTTCCCTGTGCACTCGACGTGCCAATCGCCAGCCCTCCATCGCGGTCGCATTTCCAGCTCTGCCCCAGTCTGCGGCCTGCCCAGTCCTGCGTCGGGCTGCCTGTTCGAGGGCCCTGATGGAGGGTGACGCCCAGGATCCTGCAGTGCTCTCCCATTGCCGCAATTCTCGGGCTCGTTCTCGTTCATGGACACAATCAGATTGAATCCGCGATCCAGCCTGTTAAGCGGGCCTTTCCAGTTCCCACCGGCCACCAGTGACTGGGCGTTTTGTGGCGTCTCTCCATCTTCTCCAAAGCCTCCAGTGTCGACTAGTTCCGAGTTTGCTTTTTCCCCTTCTGTTTCTGGTTTTGGGGGGGTTGAAATTAAAGTGACTCTTGTTGTAATTCCTCTTTTATTTCCTTTTGGGCAATTTCTTTTTATTTTATTTTATTTTATTTTATTTTATTTTATTTTTTTTTTTAAATTTAGCTCCCCCTCCACTCCAGCACCCAAACTGCCCCTAACCCCAGTAACCTTTTATTTTCCGTCGATGAGAGGAATGCTGTACTTTTACTTTATTTAATACTCTGCAGTCCTCACTGTCCTCCACTTCCTGAGTTCCTGCTGCAAATCTCGCTATAAAAATAACTGCTGGCTGCCGTTTTCTCGTATTCCCACGTGCATTCCTCACCACTTGCTTCATCTTGCCTCCTCCCTCTCTCCCACTCTCTTCTTCCGCCTCCACTCCAAGCTGCCTGAGCTCTGCGGCTCGTGGTTATTTTTGGACGCTGCATTCTTCACCTCGCTCTCGTGGGCCACTGGACCCTCCCTCCAGTCCATGCGCTTCTAAATAAATATCCCCTCCACCCTCCTCTCGGTTCACGTCCTCCTGCCCTAACAACCAACCTCAACGCCCCTCAGCGTCCTTCTATCTTCTCTACTATTCTACTGTCCTGGGTAGTTGACTTCTATCCTGTCCCTTCCTTCTTATCAACGCGCATTCCTTACTATATACCTTCCTTCCTTACCTTACCTTAACCTTACATCACCTCACCTCACCCTCCTTATATACTTCAAAATGGCTGGTCCTGGCGGTGGTCCCCCTCGCAAGAGCCACACTAAGTCCCGCTACGGTTGCAAGACCTGCAAGCGGCGCCATATTCGTTGCGACGAGACCTTCCCTCAATGGTATGCTCCCCACGATGCGAGTCTGCGAGAGGTGTTTTGCTAACTAAAAACAGTCGCAACTGCACCAAGCACAACTGCCGTTGTGACTACATGGATGTCGCTACCGTGCATGACGAGTCGACCTCTGTCCGGAAAGTCCCTGACCTTCTCATGTCCGCAGAGATCGAAGTGGAGATCAAGAACTGGCACCTCACCGGGCTCCCACCGTTCCCTGAACTCATGCACTTCCCGCGCAATTGCTGGAGCAAGCTATCAAGAACCGACCTCCGTCTCATCCATCACATCATTGGGCTTTCTATCGATCTTCACCGCCGAGGGCTCAGTAGTTGCACTATCTGGGCCCAGAAGATGCCACTGTAAGTACCACCTGTATCATTATGAGGGTGCCTTGACTGACGGTACAGCTTCCTGTCGATTGCCATCTCCAACGACTTTGTGATGAGCTCCATCTTAACGCTCTCAGCGGGACATCTTGCTTGGATCACGCGGAACCAGGAAACAAAACAGCTTGCATTCCACCACCGAGGCACCGCTATCCAAGGACTTCAAAACGCAATTGGCAACTTCTCGAGGGATAACTCGGATGGCGTCCTTGTTGCCTCAATCTTGCTGTCGTGGCAAGACAGTGAGTGGCCCAGCTGGGCCTCTTTGCAGCAAGGGGTAACAACCGTCCTCGACTCGATGCCCCACATGTGGAAACAGGAATCCGAGCTTGCAATGTTCCTAGAGAACCAACGATACTTAGCAGGTAGTGGCTTCCAATTCCAGGACGAGGATCTCGCTAGCCTCGAACACACCATTATCACTCTTCAGACCGTCCAGAAGCGGGTCGCCCACAACCACGAGCACTACCGGCGGCTCGGAGAATTACTCGATTTTGTGCGCCAGTTCCAGCGTGATATCCCTTTAACTCCAGAACAGGCCTTCGAACGCGTTCAGCCCTTACGACAATGGTTGTTTTGGCTTCCACCGGCAATGTTGCGGGGAGGCGACGGAGACATCGGCGCCTTGGCTATCCTGGCCCAGTTCTTTGGTGTCAGCGTGGCTCTTGATAGCCTGTTCCCCGACCTAGGAGGCGCCTACCTGGGGCCGATGTCCGTGGGACCAATCGAAGAAATCTACCGCACTATCTACGCCCGAAATGCAACAGCTCCATACAATCCTGATGTCCACCTTGCCATGTCCATCATGGATCTCCCTCGACATCTCGCCGCCAGATACCGGGCTCGTCTACAGTGGTCCCCACGGGCCTCTGTTGAGTACTACTCTCCGCCGCCGACAAGTCCGTTTCAACCCATGCAAGACTTCCGTCTAGCAGGATCGTCCTCTCCTTCTTCCGTTTCCGCTTCTTACACACCGTATACCCCACCACTCCAGTCTCCCCCGGCGGTGACGATTGCGAGCTCGCCATTTGAAGTTTCCGCGTCGTATGTGACGGCGCCAGGCTCTGCGAGCCTCTACCCCTCTCCTCAACTTCTCTCGGATACCCGGGAGGCTCCCTCCGATTCCTCCTATCCACCAGCATATCTAGAAGATATGGTGTGTGCACCTGTTTCTCGGGTGGATGGAGGCCTAGGGTTGAGTTCTTTGGAGCTCTACGAAGATCACCATTCTGTTGGCGATTATAGCACTCCAGAGTCTGTCTGGCCTGGAAGTGTTTGCGCGTAACTCTTTTTTTTTTTTTGTTTTCCTATTTTGAATTTTACAAAAGGCATTCAGGTTGAGCTTGGAATTGCATTGGATTATGGCGATAGAAGGGTTGGGATTGACTTCCCAGTGGCATTTTTTGTTCATTTTTTTTTTTTATTCTATGCCCCGAAGCAGGGTCAAATCTTTGGATGAAATGATCTGGCGTAAACACCAGAGAACAGAACAGAACAGTGGAGGAACTCCGAAACGAAATGACCGGAGAAGGCAATGTGCGATATACCCAATATTCTTTTTTTAACCTGGCGTTAGGCTGGAAATGTGGAAATGATTTTGCATGTCTGGATACTCTCAGAAACCCACTCAACATTTAACATTAACAAATAACGATGACTCCCATCTTTCATCTTTTCTCAAACAGTCCGTCCATTACTAGTACTCTAGGTCAAACAGACTAAAGCAGAAGAATGTGACATCGGAAGAATTATTCCTGAGTGCCTTGATTTCGAGAAGTGCGAGGTCGCTGAACCTTGAAGTTATAAATAGATTAGAGATCAAACCCTCGAATGGGATCGACGGCCACGTTCCCACAGGGAGGCCTGAAACGAGCTTAATCTGATCGTCGGGTCGCGGCGTCCTGGTTTTTCTCTTTTTCCACTCGAGCATTGACAATAATAATAATAATAATAATAATAATAATAGTAATAGTAATGAAATAATGGGTTTGCGCGGGAGAGACGGATAATGCAACAGGAGTTTGTGGTTTGAAGATCATGAGAGTCGGAAGTTAATGTCCTCTCTCCGCTTGCTTGGCGGGCAAACAGGGTCTTCATGACTAGTACTAGCCTGTATTCTTCCATTCTCCACGGCTGGCACCACCCACCTCATAGGCGAAGGCCCGAGCAATCGCGGGGAGGAGGATATCGCGATTCCCCGAAGCCAGGGTATGATGTGACACCGAGCGCATGGATGCGATGGGTCATGGATGGATGCATGGGAGATAATTATAGAATCCTGGCTAGGATACTGAAGAATTTACGAGGGAGATCAGCGTGTTCCTGCATTTCAGCGTTCGGGCATTCTTCTGCTGTTTCGCGTGCGACTGTCGACTGTCAACATACCTGTACTCCGTAGGAGTGAGGGGCTGAAACGGCTAACAAACGTGGGAATGAGGGGAGGCTGGTTTTGTCCATCAACAACATTGTTATTGTTCACTGACCTGCCTCGGTAATATCTCTCCGAGGAGATGGGAAGAACAACCAGGTAACTCGCTGCTGCCTTCCCCACGGCAACCCCCGTGCAGCTGAACTCATGAGTGTGCTCCTCAAAGAGTCATCCTCCCCGTCAAAGCTGGTACCGACTCGAGTCATCGGATTCAGACACCTCGCAGATGATCCCATTTCCCACGGGCCAAGACGAGTATAGCCAACCTCACAATTCAGACCAGTCCCACATGGAGCCAGCAGCCAGCACCCAGACATCTCGAGAGATTGGCACGGGCACTGACGCAGGATGAACTAAGCCGGACAGCACAAAGATTGGTGGGGCCGGTGGGCCGCCCTCATGCCCTTCAGTCTAACCCTCCTGGGAACCCTCGTATTCGGCATCTGCCGCTATTCCGGATTTAGATATGCCGCTAGCCTGATTAGATTAGCACTGGCCTAGCCTTGACGGGGCTAGCGGATTTGTTTTCCACGGTTGGGTTTGGGCTGTTTGGCAGGTTTGCTCAGTTTGGATGGTTTAGACATTTTGTATCATTGGCAAACATAGCAAACAGTAGCTGCTTCAATCAATGTCATCACATCAACGCAGAAACAATCTTGTGTTCCGAGCTGTCTCAGAAGAACTATACAATGGCCGACGCAGCTGGTTGGAGCACGATCGAATCAGACGAGGTATTTTTAATACAGCTTACCCTGTGGGTTTAATCTAGACGATAAGCTAAATGTTTCCTTTTAGGGTGTTTTCACCTCTCTTGTCGAGAACCTCGGCGTCAAGGGCGTCCAGTTTGAAGAGCTGATCTCTCTCGATCCCGACACGATACGCTCACTAGGGTATGATATATAAGCTCATCTACACTCTCATCCCATACAGCCCCAGCTTCCACAGCTAACACAACACCGCCTTACCCAACAGAACAGTCTACGGCGTCATCTTCCTCTTCAAATACCTCCGCGCCCCCGCAACCAGCAACACCCAAACCCAAGATGGGTCCCCCGCAACCAACCTCCCAGAAACCTTCTTCTTCGCAAACCAAACAATCCAAAACGCCTGCGGCACCCAAGCCATCCTCTCCGTCCTCCTAAACCACGACACCCCCGCCCCCGAAAACCACCAGACCCCAATCTCTCTCGGCCCGGAGCTCTCCTCCTTCAAGGACTTCACCACAGGCTTCCCCTCCGACCTCCGCGGCGAAGCCCTCTCAAACTCCGAAGCAATCCGCACCGCTCACAATGCCTTCGCCAAGGCCAGCCCCTTCGTCGACGAGACCAGCCGTCCCCAGAACGAAGACGAGGAAGGAGACGTATACCACTTCATCGCCTACACGCCCGTGAACGGGAAGCTGTACGAGCTGGACGGGCTCCAGCCGGCGCCGATCTCGCATGGATCTTGTGATGCGGAGACGTTCCCAGAGAAGGTGATTGAGGTGCTGCAGCGACGCATTGCGCGGTACCCCGAGACCGAGACAAGGTTTAATCTTATGGCTGTTGTGAAGGATTTGAGGATTCGGGCGGGCGAGCTTGGTGATGTTGAAGCGTTGCGGACCGAGGAGAGGAAGCGCGCTGGGTGGGCTTGGGAGAATTCGCTACGTAGGAGCAATTTCGTCGGCTTTATTGGGGAGGTTCTGAAGGGCGTTGTTGGCGGGAAGGAGGCGGAGGGAGAGGGCGCTATTGATGCGTGGGTGAAGAGGGCTGAGGGGGAGACGGCGAAGAGGTTGAGACGTTAACTTTGTCTCGCCTTTTGAGTTCTTCTCTTCTAGATTGGAAGCATGAAACTGTATGATACTCCAGTAGATTGTTAGGGCATCTGCAATCTGCCACCGTGGACGAAATCATTATGAATTCTTTTTTTTTTTCGGTACTCCAACAACACCACTCTACTCATTAGTGACACGATGAAATACCTGAAATGGCAGAATAAAAATAAAGAGAAGGTAAAGTCATAATAGAAACCACGAAGCCATCCATCCATGCCATGCATTTTTGCAAGCAGATAAATGAAACGACATAAAAAAATAAAATAAGTAAAAATAAATAAAGAGACCGCTGTGGAAATCTACCTAATATGCTACCTAGTCTATCTAACGCAGTATACAAATCATCATCATAAGGCGGCCATTACGCGTCGTCTCTCATTCATATATCGGCATATTATTCCCTCGCTTTCCATCTCTTTTTAAAGTGTTTTGCATATCACGTCTCCCTGCTGCCTGCTCGTTCTTATATGCACTCAGACCGGACCGCAATGCCATTAAGCAGTAAATAAATAAATAAAAAAAAAAAAGAGAAATAAGATAAAAGGGGGTGGAAAACAAGATGATGATTTTATACGCCCTTCGCCAGATCCCATAACAAAAATGCTGCTCATAAAATGAATGAATCTAAATCTGATATACAGAGCGGAGCTTCTGCGCGACAGGCGGGGGAAGCCGGGTCATGAACGAATCGAAATCGGGTATCATATTTTTGTAACCTTGCAGGACCTGCATTGTTGTTAGTAAAAGGTGAAAAAGAAGGATGGCTGGAAACAATGATTCGACAGTACCTGTTGGAATGAACTTTGGATATCCTGGTATTCATCCTGGTGAAGCGACTTGCCCGGGAAAGCAGCAATAGCTTGGAAGTATCCACCGAGAGATGACTCCATAGCTGCCGGATTCTTCATAACGACCTGGTTGAATCCCAGGAAAGCGGATGCCTTTTCCCGCGTGAAATCGATTCTGCTCATCGACTTCAGAAACACGCCGGCGTACTCTGCCAACCGCGGCGCAAGCTGGTCTGAGCAGCAGATGCCTAAACGACCCAGCGCCATAGCGGCATTCTCGTTGACCGAGTCGATGATCTCCTCGTTATTGATGATGGAGATAAGCCCGTGGTATAGCTTCTCTGCGTAGGGGGCGAGCGCGGCCTTTTCATTCACGGCGATCTCGCCGCAGGACCAGCATGCATTGTTTAGCACGCTGAAGCCAGTGTGCCGGTCGTCGTCACGGATCAGGTCGAGATCTAGCTGTTTGATGAGGATGGGCACGATCTCGTTGGTGAATTGGTCTAGCTGAGGGAAGATGTTGATAGCACAGTCGCCGAGCAGAGCGTAGGACGACTGTCGCACCTCGTAGTTAGGATCTTGCATGCAGAAGCAGAGCAGGTCGAAAAACCGCGGCTGCGAGTTGGCGACCAGTTCTCCGCTCTTGTTTGGATCGATCGCCTGGATGATCGCGCTCAGTAGGTCCAAACTGGTAACCAAGAAATCCTTGTCCGGTTCGTCGATGGTGTGGTTGTTCACAGAGTTCATGTATTCCTGCAGGTTCTCGTAGATGATCTTAATGCACCGCTGGAAAAGTGGAGGTGCGAAGGGGGCGAATGCGTCGCCGTATGCCGCGGTCACATATCCAAGACATTCTAGCAGCGGGAAGAGCTCTCGGGACTGGTCAGACACCTTATTATAGCGGTCGATGAGGGCGGGCATGAGGATATCGACGAGCTGAGGCTTGGCTAGTTCACCCATGACGCACTCGGCCAGGGTTTGCACACAGTCGTAGAGAATATACATGTTGCGGTCCTTGTACTTGCCAAAGCACAGCACGAACTGGCGGAGAATGGGTTCACAGTATGGGATCAAGTTGGCATCAGACTTCTCTTCCAAGCTGGCAAAGGCAGATGCAGCGGCCTCTTGGACCTTTTTGTTTCCGTCAAGCATCCGGCGGAGGATGCCCTCCATCATGGGCTCGAAGAAGCGAGCACGCTCGGACGGCTCGGTAATGTGAGAAGCCCATTCGGAATAGCGTCCAAGACACCAGCAGGTGATCTGCCGAACCACAGGTTGCGAGTCGTTGAGCAGTGAAATCAGGTATGGAACAAGTTCAGGAAGGTGGGGAGTAACTGCGTCCATACAACCATCCGCTACCGCACCGAGAGTCAAAACAGCGGCCTCCCGCTGCACCCATTGTTCGTGACGAAGGGTTTCCTTGAGATAAGGTAGGATGACTTCAAAGATAGGTTCATGGTAGACATTCGAGAAGACATCCAACGCAGCGGCGGAGCACTTGCGCAGTGTCCACTCATCTTCGGGGTCATCCCCGAACTCAGAGTCCTCAATTTCACCTTCGCTGAGGTCATCATCCTCTTCCTGTGGTGCTGCCTGCGCATCACCATTCTGCTGTCCGGCGTTCTTGGTAGTATCTAAGCGACCGGCCTTCGACCTAGCAAACTGCGGTTTCAGATCTTCTTCGCGGTCCTCCACGTCGGCGTCGTCGCCCTCGCCTGCTAGCCGGATGGCTTCCTCCTCATCGTATACCATGCTCTGAAGTAGCACCGGTACAATCTTTGGCATATGCGGAGCCAAAGGCTGTTGTAGGGCAGCCTGCTCACCCGCAACCAGCCAGAACTCCGCAGCATCGAGGTTCAGTTCCGGGTCGATTTGACTCTGTTGCTGCATGATAATATAGTTGACCAGCCCTTCCATATGAGGAATGAGCTTCTCCGGAGCAAAGTCTACAAGTTGTGCAAAAGCCTGGCACACCGTACGCTGTACTTCCAACGACGAGTCGTTAGACAGCTGGAACAGCTGCGACAGAAATACATCCATCTGCGCGAGAAGAACCTTAGGTCGGTGCGGGAGGAAGATTAGGACAGCCTTCAGCGCCGATTCCCGAATTCGGAAGCTCTCGATGGAGCTGAACGACAATAGCTTCGGGATGATCACGTCAAGGGGGCACTGCCCATTGTAGTCCCGCTCGAGGATCCGGCGGTTATCCTCGCAGACCTTGAACAAGGCCGACATGGCGGCTTCTCGGGTTGTTGTAGCTGCATCTCCGGAAGGGCTTTCAACCAGGTTCAACAGCTCATGAAGCACCTCGGGCCACGCCAATAGCCCCGCCTTTGAGATCAACTCCGTTATCACGATACCGGCGGAGTTCCGCACCTGGGCGTTGTTATCCCGGAGGCCGATGAGGGTGGCTGATCGGATATAGGTGAGGGAATCCTGGGGGATTGTGTTGTATGCGACGTGGATCTTCATCTTGAGGTTCATCGCCGCGGCGAAACGGACCATGTCGTACTCCGCCGCTTGCAAATTCAAGACGGCGGGCTTCTGCGGCGTGCAGAAGAGGTAGGTGATATAGTTGACATAGTCTGGCGATGAGGTCGCTTGTTCTAGCATCTGTCATGGTTGGAGGTGCTCTCACGTCAGTCATGGTATCGAAGAAAAATTTCCAGACAGACGAAGGCGCAGGGGCAAAAAAAAAAAAAAAAAGAATACAATTGCAGACGGGGGCAAGCTTGATATGAAAGCAAAGTGCAATTTGAAATGATACATCCAAACGTCATGTGGAGAAAAGTAGAGCAGTTTGAATTAAATACGAATGCGCGACATACCTGTTCGGCCTGCTTCTGGGCGGCGCTGTTGTAAGAATTCAATGAATCCCTGAGGCAGTAGGCCAGCTG